CTATATCGTGGTCTCCCCCGGAACCCTGCATTCACTATATCTGCACCCCTCCCCGGACCCCCTGCATTCACTATATCTGAAGCACTCCCCGGACCCTGCATTCACTATATCCGGTCTCCCCGGACCCTGCATTCACTATATCCGGTCTCCCCGGACCCTGCATTCACTATATCCGGGTGTCCCCGGGACCCTGCATTCACTATATCTGCTCTCCCGGACCCTGCATTCACTATATCCGGTCTCCCCCGGACCCGCATTCACTATATCTGCTCTCCCCCCGGACCCTGCATTCACTATATCCGGTCTCCCTGGACCCAGCATTCACTATATCTGGTCTCCCCGGACCCTGCATTCACTATATCCGGTCTCCCCGGACCCTGCATTCACTATATCTGGTCTCCCCCGTGGACCCTGCATTCACTATATCTGGTCTCCCCGGACCCTGCATTCACTATATCTGGTCTCCCCGGACCCTGCATTCACTATATCTGGTCTCCCCGGACCCTGCATTCACTATATCTGGTCTCCCCGGACCCCGCATTCACTATATCTGGTCTCCCCGGACCCTGCATTCACTATATCTGGTCTCCCCGGACCCTGCATTCACTATATATCTGGTACCCCCGGACCCTGCATTCACTATATCTGGTACCCCCGGACCCTGCATTCACTATATCTGGTACCCCCCGGACCCTGCATTCACTATATCTGATCTCCCCGGACCCTGCATTCACTATATCTGATCTCCCTGGACCCCGCATTCACTATATCCGGTCTCCCCGGACCCTGCATTCACTATATCCAGTCTCCCCGGACCCTGCATTCACTATATCCGGTGTCCCTGGACCCTGCATTCACTATATCTGCTGCTCTCTCCCCGGACCCTGCATTCACTATATCCGGTCTCCCTGGACCCTGCATTCACTATATATCTGCTCTCCCCGGACCCTGCATTCACTATATCCGGTCTCCCTGGACCCAGCATTCACTATATCTGGTCTCCCCGGACCCTGCATTCACTATATCCGGTCTCCCCGGACCCTGCATTCACTATATCTGGTCTCCCGTGGACCCTGCATTCACTATATCTGGTCTCCCCGGACCCTGCATTCACTATATCTGGTCTCCCCGGACCCTGCATTCACTATATCTGGTCTCCCCCGGACCCCGCATTCACTATATCTGGTCTCCCCGGACCCCCGCATTCACTATATCTGGTCTCCCCGGACCCTGCATTCACTATATCTGGTCTCCCCGGACCCTGCATTCACTATATCTGGTACCCCCCCCGGACCCTGCATTCACTATATCTGGTACCCCCCCTGACCCTGCATTCACTATATCTGGTACCCCCGGACCCTGCATTCACTATATCTGATCTCCCCGGACCCTGCATTCACTATATCTGATCTCCCTGGACCCCGCATTCACTATATCCGGTCTCCCCGGACCCTGCATTCACTATATCCAGTCTCCCCGGACCCTGCATTCACTATATCCAGTCTCCCCGGACCCTGCATTCACTATATCTGGTCTCCCCAGACCCTGCATTCACTATATCTGGTCTCCCCGGACCCTGCATTCACTATATCCGGTCTCCCAGGACCCTGCATTCACTATATCTGGTCTCCCCCGGACCCCGCATTTACTATGTCCGATCTCCACGGACCCCGCATTCACTATGTCCGGTCTCCCTGGACCCTGCATTCACTATATCTGGTCTCCCTGGACCCTGCATTCACTATATCCGGTCTCCCAGGACCCTGCATTCACTATATCCGGTCTCCCAGGACCCTGCATTTACTATATCCGATCTCCCAGGACCCTGCATTTACTATATCCGATCTCCACGGACCCTGCATTCACTATGTCCGGTCTCCCCGGACCCTGCATTCACTATATCTGGTCTCCCCGGACCCTGCATTCACTATATCTGGTCTCCCCAGACCCTGCATTCACTATATCCGGTCTCCCCAGACCCTGCATTCACTATATCTGGTCTCCCCGGACACTGCATTCACTATATCCGGTCTCCCCGGACCCTGCATTCACTATATCCGGTCTCCCCCTGGACCCTGCATTCACTATATCTGGTCTCCCCGGACCCTGCATTCACTATATCAGGTCTCCCAGGACCCTGCATTCACTATATCTGGTCTCCCCCTGCATTTTACTATATCCGGTCTCCCCGGGACCCTGCATTTAATCTGACTATATCCGGTCTCCCCGGACCCTGCATTCACTATCTGATCTCCCCGGACCCTGCATTCACTATATCCGGTCTCCCAGGACCCTGCATTCACTATCTGATCTCCCTGGACCCTGCATTCACTATATCCGGTCTCCCAGGACCCTGCATTCACTATCTGATCTCCCTGGACCCTGCATTCACTATATCTGATCTCCCCGGACCCCGCATTCCCTATATCCGGTCTCCCCGGACCCCGCATTCACTATATCTGGTCTCCCCGGACCCTGAATTCACTATATCTGGTCTCCCCAGATCCCGCATTCACTATATCTGGTCTCCCCGGACCCTGCATTCACTATATCTGGTCTCCCCGGACCCGGTATTCACTATATCTGGTCTCCCCGGACCCGGCATTCACTATACAGTTGCAAGAAAAAGTATGTGAACCCCTTGGGATTACGTGGAGTTTTGCATGAATTGGGCATAAAATGTGCTCTGAACGTCATCTAAGTCACAACAATAGAAGAACACAGTCTGCTGAACATAATACTACACAAACATTAGATGTTGCCATGGTTTAATTGCACATAACATGTAAACATTCACAGTGCAGGGAGGAAAAAGTATGTGAACCTTTGGACTTAATAACTGGTTGACCCTCCTTTGGCAGCAATAACCTCAACCAAACATTTCCTGTAATTGCAGATCAGACCTGCACAACGATCTGGAGTCATTTTGGACCACTCCTCTTCACAAAACTGTTTCAGTGTAGCAATATTCTTGGGATGTCTGGTGTGAATCGCTCTCTTAAGGTCATGCCACAGCATTTCAATTGGGTTGAGGTCAGGACTCTGACTGGGCCACTCCACAAGGCGTATTCTGTGCTGTTGCAGCCATTGTTTTGTTGAATGACTTGTATGGTTTGGGTCATTGTCCTGTTGCATCACCCATCCTCTGCGGAGCTTCAGTTGCGGACAGATGGTCGTATGTTTTCCTGCAAAATGTCTTGATAAACTCTGGAATTCATTTTCCCATCAATGACAACAATCCGTCCAGGCCTTGAGGCAGCAAAGCAGCCCCAAACCATGATGCTCCCTCCGCCATGTTTCACAGTGGGGATGAGGTTTTGATGTTGGTGTGCTGTGCCATTTTTTCTCCACACATAGTGTTGTGTGTTCTTCCCAAACAACTCAATCTTGGTTTCATCTGTCCACAGTATATTTTGCCAGTAGTGCTGTGGAACATCCAGGTGCTCTTTTGCAAACTTCAAACGTGCTGCAATATTCGTTTTGGACAGCAATGGCTTCCTCCGTTGTGTCCTCCCATGTACTCCATTCTTGTTTAATTTTTTCCTTATTGTAGATGTGTCAACAAAATGTTAGCATGTGCCAGAGATTTCTGTAGGTCTTTAGCTGACACTCTGGGATTCTTCTTTACCTCATGCAGCATTCTGCGCTGTGCTCTTGCAGTCATTTTTACAGGACGACCATGCCTAGGGAGAGTAGCAACAGTGCTAAACTTTCTCCATTTGTAGACAGTCTGTCTTACCGTGGACACATGAACATCAAGGCTTTTGGAGATACTTTTGTAATCCTTTCCAGCTTGATGCAAGTCAACAATTCTTGATGGTAGGTCTTCTGAGAGCTCTTTTCTGCGAGGCATGGTTCACATCAGACAGTGCTTCTTGAAACCAGTAAACCCAAAACAGGTGTGTGTTTTTTAAGGGCAGGACAGCTGTCAGCAACACATCCAATATCATCACACTGATTGGAGTCAAGGTTGGCTCACTCCTGGCTCCAATTAGCTCTGGGAGAAGTCATTAAGCTAGGGCCTCACATACTTTTTCCTCCCTGCACTGTGAATGTTTACATGTTATGTGCAATTAATCCATGGCAACATCTAATGTTTGTGTAGTATTATGTTCAGCAGACTGTGTTCTTCTATTGTTGTAACTTAGATGACGTTCAGAGAGTCACTATATCTGGTCCCCCGGACCCTGCATTCACTATATCTGGTCTCCCACAGTACACACAACATGGAAATGCAATTATGTTAGGAAATATAAACTGCTAAATCCCTTTTCTCATCAGCAGTTAGAGCAGTCTTATGACTTCTATCAGTGTCCAGCAGAGCACTTGTTAAAGCTTGTAGGAGGAGTTTTATTTCTGCTCTAGGAGGATGCAGGACCCCTGACCTCTGTCTGGACAGTGCTGATTGGCTCTGTGCTGATCACATGCACTCTCCCAAACTGAGCATGTGCAGAGTGTCTCCGTATGTCTTATCAGGAGATAAGATGGGGGCACTGGAAGAAGGCGGCACAGTGGCTAAGTGGTTAGCACGTCTGCCTGGCAGTACTAGGGTCGCCGTTTCAAATCCCAACCATGGCACTATCTGCCTGGAGTTTGCATGTTCTCCCTGTGCCTGCGTGGGTTTCCTCTGGGTACTCCGGTTTCCTCCCACACTCCAAAGACATGCTTGTAGGTTAATTAGATCCTGTTAAATTGTCCCTAGTATGTGTATGTATGAATGTGAGTTAGGGACTTTAGATTGTACCCCCCTTGAGGGTTAGGGACTGATGTGAATGTACAATATATATGTAAAAGCGCTGCGTAAATTGACAGCGATATACAAGTACCTGAAATAAATAAATAAGAAGGGGAGGATCAGATAAGTCAGGATCAAACAGCATTTTTACACATGATTAACCCCTTAGGTTCCACAGTGAGTATAACAAGCATGCTTCGCTGCATATACAGACTGATTGTACTGTTGTGGGTTTAGTAACACCTTAATAAGTGAATGCAGTGTGCAATGATGGTGCCACCCTTGGAGGTACATCCTCTGTTTTGGAACCAAATTAATCTGTCTTTCATTCTCTTTGTAGTCTGATATACAGACCTCTATCATTTAAAATACATTTAAGTGTAAATCAAATCACCGAGCTTTTAACATGTTAAAGAGACCCTGTCATCAGACCTCGCTTTTTGTGTGTACCCCAGCTTTTGCACCTAGTTCACATCCACTTTATCTAACAAAAAGGTCACACTATACGAAACTTTTTGCCTGCTGAAGCGAAGGAAAGTAGTTGTTAAAAAGGTAGCATTGCGCTTAAAGGATAAGTTCACCTTTGGGAACATATTACTTGTTACATGTTCCACCCTGTTTTTAGGGTGAAACATGTAACATGTTCCTATGGCTGTAGCTGCGCCCGCTGCCCCCCCATCTCTCTGACAGATAATATGGGGAGAAGTCCCCCCTGTACTATCTGTCAGATTTTAAAACCTCTGCACACTGTATTACTTCCTATTGACCTCTGCACACTGCATTACTTCCTATTGACCTCTGCACACTGCATTACTTCCTTCCTATTGACCGCTGCACTTTGTATTACTTCCTACTGAGCTCTGCACACTGCATTACTTCCTACTGCACACTTACTTCCACTTCTGCACACTATTACTTCCTACTGACCTCTGCACTGCATTACTTCCTACTGACCTCTGCACACTGCATTACTTCCTATTACCTCTGCACTGCATTACTTCCTACTGACCTCTGCACACTTGCATTACTTCCTACTGACCTCTGCACACTTTACTTCCTACTGACCTGCACACTGCATTACTTCCTACTGACCTCTGCACTTTGTATTACTTCCTACTGACCTCTGCACACTGCATTACTTCCTACTGACCTCTGCACTTTGTATTACTTCCTACTGACCTCTGACCTCTGCCTCTGCACTTTGTATTACTTCCTACTGACCTCTGCACACTGCATTATTTCCTACTGACCTCTGCACTTTGTATTACTTCCTACTGACCTCTGCACTTTGTATTACTTCCTACTGACCTCTGCACACTGCATTATTTCCTACTGACCTCTGCACTTTGTATTATATCCTACTGACCTCTGCACACTGCATTGCTTCCTATTGACCCCTGCACACTGCATTACTTCCTACTGACCTCTGCACACTGCATTACTTCCTATTGACCTCTGCACACTGCATTACTTCCTACTGACCTCTGCACACTGCATTACTTCCTATTGACCTCTGCACACTGCATTACTTCCTATTGACCGCTGCACTTTGTATTACTTCCTACTGAGCTCTGCACACTGCATTACTTCCTACTGACCTCTGCACTTTGTATTACTTCCTACTGACCTCTGCACACTGCATTACTTCCTACTGACCTCTGCACTTTGTATTACTTCCTACTGACCTCTGCACACTGCATTACTTCCTACTGACCTCTGCACTTTGTATTACTTCCTACAGACCTCTGCACACTGCATTACTTCCTACTGACCTCTGCACTTTGTATTACTTCCTACTGACCTCTTCACACTGCATTACTTCCTACTGACCTCTGCACTCTGCATTACGTGTTACATAACTCTGCACCAGGGGCGGACTGACCATTCAAGCACTTGGGCACTGCCCAAGAAATTCCCCTGGTACCTTTTATAGGCTTTTTTTGAGTGTGGGGCAAGGACACAGGGGCCCCATGATCCCCTATTGCCCGGGGGCCCCGTGAGTTGTCAGTCCGCCCCTGCTCTGCACTCTGCATTACTTACTCCTGACCGCTGTGCTATCCTAACTAAATTACATATTGCTCTGATGGGCCGATCCTAGCCAACCAGAGCAAATCTCAGCCCAACCAGTCAGGCCAGAACTCAAGGCAGCCAGGACAGAGCCAAATGTACCTAGCTTATAAGCAAGGACCGGATTCGCCACCAGCAACAATCATGTTGGCTCAGGGCACCTCTCATCATACTCCTGCAACATGAACGAAATGGGGTATCGTTCACCTGTACAACAAATGTGTTCAGCCATTTTGATTAACTACATGCTCCCAGCCAAAATACCCTCCTCCAGGAATAGAAGAATGTCCACACAATCAGCCTTTTGAATGCTTTACTATGCTCAGTTCTTCCCCATACACACGTACATCTCTTCCTCTATTCATCAGACATTAGCATTACTGTTCAGTTCAAACTCAAAGTTAACAATGCTTCCATTTATCTCATCCTTAGGTTTCCTGAGATGGGTTCTCATTGGGGCCTATATTAGGCCTACCCCCTGAGGGGCATGCTCCACTCAGACTGTGTACCTACATGGTGTTGTTTTGCAGACTTCCAGTCAACCCACTATGGTTCTTCCGGGACCCTGCTTATAAAGAGATAAGCTGGCCCAATCCACAGTACCCACCCAGGGGTGGTGTCTCGCTAAAAGAGGTACTAATCCTTGCTTACAAGCCAAGCCAAAATTCAACGTAGCCCGCCAGACCGGAACTCAACTCAGACAGCCAGGCCAGAACTCAATGTAGCCCACCAGACCGGAACTCAACTCGGACAGCCAGGCCAAAACTCAACATAGCCCGCCAGACAGGAACTCAACTCAGACAGCCAGGCCAGAACTCAATGTAGCCCACCAGACCGGAACTCAACACGGACAGCCAGGCCAAAACTCAACGTAGCCCGCCAGACAGGAACTCAACTCAGACAGCCAGGCCAGAACTCAACAAAGTCGGCTGGCCCAAGCTCAAATGGAAGGATTAGTTTATTCTTACAGAGACATTTGTATTACTATATCTTCTTCAAGCATTCTTTTTAATGGGGCCTTGCTGTGCTGTGTAAAGTCCTTATAAAAAAGGGCTCCACAACCCTGGTAATCTTCGATCTCTTCCATGTTGTTCAGGTAGACCTCCACTTCTCCAAGGATGCCCACCTCTGATTTTATCTATACTCTGAAAGTTAGTCCCAGTTCTTGTTCTTGTTATGATACATTCAGATGCCTGCACACGTATTATGGCTGTCTGAACTTGTTTATAAAGCACTCTATAACACTTTGTTTCCCAGTTAATAAAATAACCCAGTTAATGCTCTAAATTCTCCAGCCATGGGTGTCTCAGGTGCCGGTCAAGCTGCTTTTGCACACCCTAGCTTCAAACATGGAGCTGTGAAAATGTGGAATAGACTCCCTCAAGAGTTGGCTCTGGCCAGCTCAATAGATTGCTTTAAAAAAAGTCCTGGGTTCTTTATTGGATACAAAGAATATTACTGGATACTAACATTTATAGGTAAGGTTGATCCAGGGAATATCCGATTACCTCTCTGGAGATCAGGAAGGAAGGAATATTTTCTGCTGCAGGAGCAAATTTGGATCATGCTTTGCTGGGTTTTTTTTTGCCTTCCCCTGGATCAACTATGGGTGTAGGATTATAACTGTTTTTTTTTTTTTTTTTTTTTATGGTTTAGCTGGATGGACTTTTGTCTTTTTTCAGCCAGACTAAGTTACTATGTAGCTCAAGTGAATTAACAGCCAGGCATCAAAGTTGTCACTTCTTTATAAAAAACTTTATTGAACTAGTCAAGAACACACTGACACCTCCACTGAAAGACCGCTCATCTCTGACACCAGCAGAGGCTCAGTCTTCAGCTCCTTCTTGGCTGATTCAATAAAGTTTTTATAAAGAAAAATGGTGACACCAGTGTGCGGCCATTTGTTTCCTTGTACTCTGCCACCCAGATTAAAGGACAAAAGATTTGTGGTCCACTCAGCTGGGGACATGGCAGGGGTGTGTCCTGTGCCAACATTATAAAAGGTGTCCCTCTTTTCCATTTCTGAAAGAAATGTATTTACAAAAGAGCAAAGTGCAGCCGATCAGATTTCAGGACATTGCTGTCAGATGATGAGAAGGATAAAGACTTACATGTGCACACAATCATCACACTTTGCTCTTGTTTATAACATAAGGCCAGTCTTCATTGGTCTTCATCGGGATAATGTAGGCATTAAGATACAAAGTGGAGGGACCCACCTTGGTGGTGAAGGAACCAGCTCTGGCGTAGTGATTCATCATTTGGTCTTTTTTCAGGAAGCGACAGTCCACGGCATCACGTCTGGTCGTCCAGATAAAATAGGGGATCTCATTGCGAACTAGCCTGGACTGAGCAGGACATACAATGGACACTAGAAGTTATTTTTTTTTTAAGCATAATTTAAAATAAACTTAAAATGAAAGCAGACATGGGAAGTGATATTCAAACATACGGATGTCAACCAACGCTTCCATTTACCTCAGCCTTAGCTTTCCTGAGATGGGTTCTCATTGGGGCCTATATTAGGCCTACCCTGAGGGGCATGCTCCACTCAGACTGTGTACCTACATGGTGTTGTTTTACAGACTTCAAGTCAACCCACTATGGTTCTTCCGGGACCCTGCTTATAAAGAAATAAGCTGACCCAATCCACAGTACCCACCCAGGGGTGGTGTCTCGCTAAAAGAGCTACTAATCCTTGCTTACAAGCTAGGCCAAAATTCAACGTAGCCCGCCAGACCGGAACTCAACTCAGACAGCCAGGCCAGAACTCAACGTAGCTTGCCAGACAGGAACTCAACTCAGACAGCCAGGCCAGAACTCAATGTAGCCCACCAGACCGGAACTCAACTCAGACAGCCAGGCCAGAACTCAATGTAGCCCACCAGACCGGAACTCAACTCAGACAGCCAGGCCAGAACTCAATGTAGCCCACCAGACCGGAACTCAACTCGGACAGCCAGGCCAAAACTCAACGTAGCTCGCCAGACAGGAACTCAACTCAGACAGCCAGGCCAGAACTCAATGTAGCCCACCAGACCGGAACTCAACTCAGACAGCCAGGCCAGAACTCCACTCAGACAGCCAG